CACAGGGAGGGAGTGCTTCAAGCGCACACCTGCTGTGCATTCGAGTGCAGACTCTGCAGATTCAGGACAGAGATCTACTATGAATCTGGAGTGTAGGCTCACTGTGGATTCAGAACACAGACCAACTATGGATTCAGAGGGTAGACCTACTGTGGGTTCAGGGTGTAGACTCACTGAGGGTCAGAGCTAGACCCACCGTGGACAGGGTCAAGTTTGAATGGGCCCTGGAGCAGTCGTGGGCACATGCTCAGGGTTGGACCTGGGGGATCTGAGGTCAGCTCGGGTGCTGAGGGCTCAGGGACGATGCGGACATTCCATCTCACCATCAAGAGCTCCTGGCCCCTCCCCAGGGGAGGGCAGGTGCGTGGAGGGCCCCGTCCTCTCCGTCTGCTGCCCCTGCAGCCCCAGCGCTGAGGCTCTGTGCCCTCCTGTTTTGTAGGGTTCACAGTCCACCCTGGTGACCGGTGGGTGCTCGAGACTGGCCGCCTGTATGAAATTGCCGTCGAGGTGCTTGACAGAACCGGCAACAAGGTCTACCTGTCAGATGTGAGTGCCCATCCCACCTGGGCCGGTGGGGTTTGTGAAGTGGGGGGGTCCCGGGAGCAGCCCCCAAAGCAAGAGGGGCGCCGAGCAGGCAGGCTGTTGGGTGCTTCCTGGAGGCGCTGCTGGTTCCACAAGAGACACTGATGGACATTGGGCATCTTGGGATCCTGCACACCAAGGCCCCACTCCCTACGCAGCTGGAGCAGGGAGGGGCGGCGGGCAGCCAGGTTCACGGAGGTGGGGATGGGGGAGGTGGTGTCCGCCGGCTGGAACACCGGCCACCTTGCTCGTGGGGCCCGGGGTTCTGAGGCGGAGGCAAGGCTCCCCTCTGGCTTCTGCATAGAAGCCCTTGCTCTCCTTCTGTTACTGAAAAAAAATACTTGGTCCATCGCCGTTTGGGAGATAAAATAGCTCTAAGGATTTTGATGTCCATATTTTGTGTTTGGCCGTTTCCTTGTTGGGACCTCAGGGTCTGAGAAAGCTGACTGCAGCTTTGAGCCCCCGAGCCCCAGCCCGGTGGCTCGACAGGAGCGCCAGGTCATGGGGTCACGCAGGGAGGGCGGCCTGGGAGGGGTCAGAGCTCAGGCCCAGGGCGCCGTCCAGTTTGTCGCCTCCCACCTGGCCCGGCCTGGCTGCTGTTTCGGGGTCGCACTGGCTCCTTCCTGTGCTGTGACGTCCCCCAGTCGGCCAGGAAGCTCCTCTCACACGTCCCGCCTTTCCTTCCAGAACATCCGCATCGAAACTGTGCTTCCTCCGGAGTTCTTTGAGGTGCTGACTTCTTCCCAGAACGGGTCATACCATCATGTCAGGGCAGTCAAGAGGGGCCAGACGGCCATCGAGGCGGCCCTCACCTCTGTGGTGGACCAGGCAAGTTGGCACGTCCCCTCCCCACCCAATCCTGGGACCTCTGTGGGCAGAAATGTCAACCCAGGCTGGACATGAGCCCTGGGGGTCGGGGACCCAAGCTTGCAATGCCCTCCTGGGTGCCGAGGGGGTCCCTCCTGCTCCAGGCTCACGATGCTGTCTGGGGGCAGGGGCTTCAGCCTGTCCCTGTCCCAGGGCTGGGCCACAGCCCCTTCTTCTCCGCCCTTTGCTGGTGCCTGGAGACGCGAGCCTGTGCCTCTGGGGTTGGGGCTAGAAACCCTTGTTAGGGAATCAGTGTTGGGCCCGTGTGCCCAGCTGTGCACCGACTGGTACCCACGAGCATCCCTTGGGCTGTTTTGGCTACTCGGTCCTTCAAAGGTTTTAAATTTCCCCCACGTTTACAAGGCCAGTCAGTTTCAGTGGGAGCAGATTCTACTGCTGGGAAGCTCGGGGCGGGTGTTCTAATCTGCTGTGCACACACCCCTCCAAGACCGGTCAGAGGCGGAAATGGCCTGTGGGCCAGGCAGTGAGTCCTGCCAAAGTTGCCACTTGCGCTCTGGGGACTTTGGGCAAGTTGCTTTCATACCCATGCCTCAGTCTCCTCATCTGGGGGGTAGGGGTGACCACATGCACACGTCAGGGTTTGTGAGGGTGCAGACGAGCAGTGCTTGCTGGGGTGGCTGGTACAGCGCCACGTGACGCCATCTCCATGGAGACCGAGAAGGCTACTGAGTACCTGCATCTTCCTACCCACCCCACCGCGATTTCGAAGTCTACCCTTGGGACCCGATCCCCAGGGAGGAGCGAGGGTCTGCTCAAGTGCCGACCTGATTGTCACGGTATCATGTTGCAGGATGGAGGGGTCCACATGTTACGAGTGCCTGTGTGGAACCAGCAGGAGGTTGAAATTCACATTCCCATCACCCTCTATCCCAGCATCTTGACGTTCCCGTGGCAACCAAAGACGGGCGCCTATCAGTACACAATCAAGGTAGCCGGGGGACCCCCATCTGGGCTCATTCCTTCGGTGTTTCTGTGGGGCTGGGGCTTTTCATTCATTCTGTCTCTGTTCGTATTACCTTCCGTGGTGGGGAGAGAATTCAGAATCAGTTTTTATGCTCTCTGTATTTTCCGAGGTGTCTGTCTCAGCGCTGTGTCTTGGTGATTAGGGACACACCCTGAGGAGCAAAAGCACGATAAGGAAAGGCTGGGACACGGATCAGACTCCACACGCTTTTGTTTTTGTAAAAAAGTACTGTTTTCCGAAAGCAGTGTAAAAACTTAAGAGAAAAATTTGAAGTTCGAGGGACGATGTTCCGAGCTTTGTCATTTGTCAGGTGTTCTTGGTCTTTGATGGTCACATGCCCACCTGGTGTCAGTCGGCAGGGCTGGTGCCTGTCTGGGCTGGAGCCCGTGTGACCCGCCTGGTCCCGTCAGTCCCTGCTGACTGTCCGGGCGGCCCGACAGGTGTCTGGTGTGTGCCGTGAGACCCGCTGCCCCTTCACTCAGGGATGTCGCCTTCCCGGCCTCCGCAGGGTCATGGGGTGGTGGCCCCAGATCTGGGAGGCCACCAGGCTGTCCTTTGCTTCATGGCAGACACTCGGAGTGGGCAGGGGTCTGTGCCAGGAGTGGGCAGGGCAGCCCCATCCTGCGCCTGGCTCTGCGGCAGGGGTCATCCAGCTCCAGCCTGAGCTTGGCAGGTGCTCCTGGGTTCTGGGGCCCCTGTCACGGGCACGTGTGTATGCGTACGTCAGCCACAAGGTCCCCAGAAGGTGAGGACCAGAAAGAGACATTGGAGACAGCGGGGGATTGAGAGAGCTGCCTGCCGGACGCTGGCTGATGCCACATTTCCCCACATGGTGGCAGGATGCTGACCGCGTGTGGGAGAGAGAGGGTGGGTGACAGACCAGGCAGGGAGCTGACCCCGTGATGAT